GGCAAACTAATCCTCATGCTTGGAGACTATGATGTGGCCTGGTAGACAACGTTCTTGCCTCACATGCTGAATGTCCATGGTTTGATCCCCGGCATGGGTGGAAATATTGGTGTGTTTTCTTACGCCTGCTGTTCCCATTCGCCTAGCAAGCAAGTAGGTACCTGGGGGTTATTTCACTGGTGTGGGTGGTACCCTGGAGGACAGTATTGAAGGACCACAGTGGAAATAAGTCACTCTGTCTGACTTTTTTGGGTTATCCTAGGTACTTTACACATATGTTGCTATGTATGATAATCTATGTAACTGTATTTGTGTATACCTGAATAAACTTACTTACACAATGGAAATAACAGTCACTCAATAACACACTGACTTTCTTGGGTTATCTTGGGTGGCTAACCCTGCGGGGTTAAAAAATTTAACAAAATCTTATCTATCCCTCATAAGATTTCTTATGCAATTAACTACAATCATATGTACAATACGAAAGCTAATGAACAATTGGTACAATTTCAAAGATATGACATTGTTTCAGACTGATTCAATGATCTTCAGTTTTTTGGAGTGATTGAATAGAGATAGTGAATATACAGAAAGTTACTTATAGTAAAAAAAAATGAAACAGGTTGCGTAATTACTTTTTTATGGTAATTTTATAAAGACTGGAAGAAAAGTGACAGTTGGGCGAGTTAGAAATGTTTGACAGAGCTTATTGTTGGTTCAGTTAGGTTAAGGAGATGAGGCTTTTTTTTTTTTAATAGGTCTGAATGATAATTAGAGGGAGGCGGAAGGACAAGGTCACAGTTTTGAGGTACATGATGGTATGTGAAGGTCACAGTGTTGTCAGGGGCCGTGGTGTGTCCCGTGACGTCATCAGTGTGCACCAATCAGGTGGCAGCATTATCAGGGCATCTGACACACCTCCACTTTCTGCCACACGCAACTTCAACAACAATTTAACAATTGTTAACTTACAAACTCTTTACATTTACCAAACTGCATTTCAAACAATAAAGAGTTAGTCCTAGATACCACTGAAATAACTGTGTTGCTTAAATAGGTACATTGCTTAACAGGAATTTGTAAGACAACTTTTAAATCAGTGGAAGCTGGCATTTATGTCAGGTGTGAGTGTGGTAAGCCTGGGTGGGAGCAGCAGTCTACCCACAACCATTGACACGGGTGTTTGTTCCTCTCTTCTTTCTCCATCAAAGCTTTTAAAATGAAGTCTTTCATTGATATTCCTCCTGACAGTCATTTTCCCATCGAGAATTTACCGTATGGGATATTTTCAACCTGTGACAACGTGAGTATGAGGGATGACAGCTACCTGGGCTCGCACCTTGTCTCACTTTTTTTTTTTTTTTTTTTTTGGGGGGGGGGTTATCCTAGGTAATTTACACTATTATTATTGTACTTATGTGTACTTGTGCCTAAATAAACTTACCAGCTATCATAGTCATTTTGTTTGGTTTAGCTTCAAATCATATTATATAATCCATACGAGTTTAATATTTACATTTGTTATGGGCAAGTAAGGAGTATTTTATTCAGATTTAACCCAGGACAACCAGTCAAGTCAATGTGAATTATAGAGGGTGTCGTGGCTCACTTGGTAGCGCGCTGACCTCACACTGAGGGACCGGGATCGATCCCCGGCACGGATGGCACATTGGGCAAGTTTATTTAGGTACAGGTACATACAAGTACACTTATCATACACAATGTATATTATTCACCAACATAACCCAAAAATAGTAAAAGTGGCTTGTTTCCACTGGTGTCCTTGTAATATTACTAACTTTAAAACTGCTACTGTTCCTGTTGATATAGTGGTAATTAAGTACTTGGGGTGGGTGGCACCCTGGGGGAGTGGGAGAATAAAGGACCCTGGTGGAAATGTACAACCTCTGATGAAGCACTGGCATTATTTCTCTAATATAAATATGAATAATAAATTTAGGGCTCAGTTTTGAGCTGAATGGTAATTATTGTGGAAATTCTCAATATTAAGTATATTGTACAATGGATACAGTTGTATATTGTGCTTATAGGGAAGCTCCATCTATCCTTGGCAACAATACCAGGTAATCCAACCTAACCTAAGCTAGATTTAGAAGAATTTTAGCTTGGGTTAGCTACATTTATTTTTGGGTTACCAAAGAAAAAAGTTGTCTCCCTGTAGGTCAGAAGTATAACATGTCTGCATTACATAACCCACATAATGGAGACTTTACACAACGGGTGTTCCTTGGCTTCATTGGCAGCATACTCTCCTCGCACACCTTGTGTCCGGGGTTCAATCCCCGGCATGGGTAGAAATGTTGGGAATATTACGTAAACATGCTGTGCCATGCATAATAATAATTATTATTAATAATAATATTTCAGCATAACAATGTTTGTACAGAGATGGGTAACATTTAGTTGTACATGTAGAAAGCTCATAGTTATGCGGAGCATTTCAGGTTTTCTATAAAGTGTTCATGTATGTCAATCATCCTGTACTACACTTTATAGGAATAGTTTGTTGTGGGTCACATCCTGGGGGTGGTAGTATACCTTACATAAGGTTGGGCTTAACAGTGAGGTGAGGTGGGATAATGGCTCTTACCTGTAAAATTGTCAGTATAAAAACAATAAAATTTGAGACCCTGAACTCAGTGTTAAGCAGTTTTATTTTTCCATCTTCGCCAATTTTTTTTTTTACTAATTATTTTTTATATTATCAATATAGTATTTATTACACAGTAAATTCAGTATTAATAACTAACCCATGAGGCTTCAACATTTGGTTTAATATGCCATAAAAATAGAATTTGACTGTCAGTTATTGTATTTGTAATTGCTTCAAATTAGATAGTGTCAAGTTTCTCACTACAGTACTGTATGTTTTTTAGAAAAAAATTTAATTGCCTCAAAGTTTTTTTGTCTTGTCTAATATTCTTAAAACTTTTTAAAACATTACTAATAATAATGAGGCCTATTTCCTACTATATATACATTCATTTTCCAAGATATATTTGTATTATAAAAAGATTGGTTTGCACTGGATGTCATGTGTGGAAAAGCTCATAGTTATGTAAAGCAACTGGGCAGACAGAAACAGAATTTAAAAATAGTAGACATTAGGTAACTGCAAACATCCTCACATAGGTAGTTTGTGCACAGCATGTAAAAAGCATGAGGGCAAGCATTGATTGTAATTGTGAGATCTCTTGAGTGACATCACAAAGATAATGGGATATTAGGAGTTACGCTTTATTTAGGGAACGATGCATAAAGCATTAATTATTTTTTTATGCTGGTCATGGGGGTGCACAAATCAACACTCCTATGTATTGTATTATGTACATTTTACCAGGGTTGACTAGTCGATGCCCTTTATTTTCATTGTTATCAAATGCAAATAATTTACCTTAATGTGTATTAAGTCATCATTCTAACATCACATTTATATCGTGTTCCAGCCAAGGTGCCGTATTGGTGTTGCTATTGGTGACATGATTTTAGACCTGTCATTGATCTCTCACTTGTTTACTGGACCTGTCCTCAAAGCCCACCAACAGGTCTTCCAGCAGGTGGGTACATTATTAATTTTTCTAATTTATTACTATGTTTAATAATGTTACTCTTGAGATGAATGATTTTGTTGTTCAGGAAAGACAAATAGTGTACGTAGTAGGTAGTGTAGGTAGTAGGTTGGTAGACAGCAACCACCCAGGGAGGTACTACCGTCCTGCCAAGTGAGTGTAAAACGAAGCCTGTGATTGTTTTACATGATGGTAGGATTGCTGAGGTCTTTTGTCTGTCTCATAAATATGCAAGATTACAGGCATGTCTTGCTACTTCTACTTGCACTTAGGTCACACTACACATACATGTACACATTTATTTATACACACTCATCTGAGTTTTCTTTGATTTTATCTTAATAGTTCTTGGTCTTATTAATTTTCCTTTTATATCCATGGGGAAGTGGAATAAGAATCTTTCCTCCGTAAGCCATGCGTGTTGTAAAAGTCAACTAAAATGCGGGAACAATGGGCTAGTAACCCCTTTTCCTGTAAAGATTACTAAAAAGAATAAGAAGAAGAAAATTGTCAAAGTGGGAAGTCTGAATGTGCGTGGATGTTGTGCAGATGATAAGAAAGAGATGATTGTGGATGTTATGAATGAGAAGAAGCTGGATGTCCTGGCTTTAAGTGAAACAAAGCTGAAGGGGGTGGGAGAGTTTCAGTGGAGAGGAATAAATGGGATTAGGTCAGGGGTTTAAATAGAGTTAGAGCTAAAGAAGGAGTAGCAATAATGTTGAAGGATAAGCTATGGCAGGAAAAGAGGGACTATAAATGTATTAATTCAAGGATTATGTGGAGTTAAATAAAGATTGGATGTGAAAAGTGGGTTATAATAAGCGTGTATGCACCTGGAGAAGAGAGAAGTGTAGAGGAGAGAGAGAGATTTTGGGGAAATGTTGAGTGAATGCGTGGGGAGTTTTGAATCAAGTGTGAGAGTAATGGTGGTTGGGGATTTCAATGCTAAAGTGGGTAAAAATGTTATGGAGGGAGTAAATAGGTAATTTGGGGGGCCAGGGGTAAATGTAAATGGGGAGCCTTTAATTGAGCTTGTGTAGAAAGAAATTTGGTAATAAGTAATACATATTTTATGAAAAAGAGGATAAATAAATATACAAGGTATGATGTAGCACGTAATGAAAGTAGTTTATTAGATTATGTATTGGTGGATAAAAGGTTGATGGGTAGGCTCCCAGGATGTACATGTTTATAGAGGGGCAACTGATATATCGGATCATTATTTAGTTGTAGCTACAGTTAGAGTAAGAGGTAGATGGGGAAAAAAAGGAAGGTGGCAACAAAAAAGTAAGAGGGAGGTGAAAGTGTATAAACTAAGGGAGGAGGAAGTTCGGGTGAGATATAAGCGACTATTGGCAGAAAGGTGGGATAGTGCAAAGATGAGTAATGGGGGGGTTGAAGAGGGTTGGAAAGTTTTAAAAATGCATTTATTGAATGTGGGGCAGAAGTTTGTGGTTATAGGAGGGTGGGTGCAGGAGGAAAGAGGAGTGATTGGGGGAAATTTGATAAAGTAAAAGGGTGTGATAAAAGAGAAAAAAGGTAGTTATGAAGGTTTTTACAAAGCAGGAAGTGTTTATAAGAAGGCAGAATATTGGAGAGTAAAAAAAAGGGGTAAAGAGAGTGGTGAGAGAGTGAAAAAGGAGAGCGATGATAGAGTGGGAGAGGCACTGTCAAAAAATTTTAATGAAAATAAGAAAAATTTTGGAGTGAGTTAAACAATTTAAGAAACCCAAAGGGAAAATATGGATTTGTCAGTTAAAACAGAGTAGGGGAGTTAGTAGAGGGGGAGATGGAGGTATTAGGTAGATGGCGGAATTTTTTGAGGAACTTTTAAATGTTTAAGGAAGAAACAGAGGCATTTAATTTCATGCACTGGTCAGGGGGGGTATACCATCTTTTGGAGTGAAGAAGAGCAGAATGTAAGTGTGGGGGAGGTACGTGGGGCATTACGTAAAATGAAAGGGGGTAAAGCAGCTGGTACTGATGAGATCATGACAGAAATGTTAAAAGCAGGGGGGGTATAGGTTGGAGTGGTTGGTACTTTTGTTTAATAAATGTATAAAAAGAGGGGAAGGTACCTAGGGATTGGCGGGAGGGAAAGCATGTATGCCCCTTTATATAAAGGGGAAAGGGGACAAAAGAGACTGTAAAAATTATAGAGGAATAAGCTTACTGAGTATACCAGGAAAAGTGTACGGTAGGGTTATAATTGAAAGAATTAGAGGTAAGAAGAATGTAGGATTGCGGATGAACAAGGAGGTTTCAGAGTGGGTAGGGGATGTGTAGATCAATGTTTACATTGAAGCATATATTTTGAACAGTTTTTTAGATAAAGGTAGGGAAGTTTTTATTGCATTTATGGATTTAGAAAAGGCATATGATAGAGTGGATAGAGGAGCAATGTGGCAGATGTTGCAGTATATGGAATAGGTGGTAAGTTATTAAATGCTGTAAAGAGTTTTTATGAAGATAGTGAGGCTCAGGTTAGGGTGTGTAGAAAGAGAGGGAGACTATTTCCGGTTAAAAGTAGGTCTTAGACAGGGATGTGTAATGTCACCATGGTTGTTTATATATTTATAGATGGGGTTGTTAAGGAAGTAAATGCTAGGGTGTTTGGGAGGAGGGGTGGGATTAAATTATGGGAATCAAATTTTAAAAAAGGGAATTGACACAGTTACTTTTTGCTGATGAACTGGGGCTTATGGGAGATTCTAAAGAAAAATTGCAAAGGTTAGTGATGAGTTTGGGAATGTGTGTTAAAGGTAGAAAGTTGAAAGTGAACTAGAAAAAAGTAAGGTTTATGAGGGTGTCAAATGCTTTAGATAAAGAAAAATTGGATATCAAATTGGGGAGGAGGAGTATGGAAGAAGTGAATGTTTTCAGATACTTGGGAGTTGACGTGTCGGCGGATGGATTTATGAAGGATGAGGTTAATCATAGAATTGATGAGGGAAAAAAGGTGAGTGGTGCGTTGAGGTATATGTGGAGTCAAAAAACGTTATCTATGGAGGCAAGAAGGGAATGTATGAAAGTATAGTAGTACCAACACTCTTATATGGGTGTGAAGCTTGGGTGGTAAATGCAGCAGCGAGGAGACGGTTGGAGGCAGTGGAGATGTCCTGTTTAAGGGCAATGTGTGGTGTAAATATTATGCAGAAAATTCGGAGTGTGGAAATAGGAGAAGGTGTGGAGTTAATAAAAGTATTAGTTCAGAGGGCAGAAGAGGGGTTGTTGAGGTGGTTTGGTCATTTAGAGAGAATGGATCAAAGTAGAATGACATGGAAAGCATATAAATCTATAGGGGAAGGAAGGCGGGGTAGGGGTCGTCCTCGAAAGGTTGGAGAGAGGGGGTAAAGGAGGTTTTGTGGGTAAGGGGCTTGGACTTCCAGCAAGCGTGCATGAGCGTGTTAGATAGGAGTGAATGGAGACGAATGGTACTTGGGACCTGACGATCTTTTGGAGTGTGAGCAGGGTAATATTTAGTGAAGGGATTCAGGGAAACCGGGTTTTATTTTCATATAGTCGGACTGAGTCTGGAAATGGGAAGTACAATGCATGCACTTTAAAGGAGGGGTTTGGGATATTGGCAGTTTGGAGGGATATGTTGTGTATCTTTATATGTGTATGCTTCTAGACTGTTGTATTCTGAGCACCTCTGCAAAAACAGTGATAATGTGCGAGTGTGGTGAAAGTGTTGAATGATGATGAAAGTATTTTTCTTTTTGGGGATTTTCTTTCTTTTTTGGGTCACCCTGCCTCGGTGGGAGACGGCCGACTTGTTGAAAAAAAAAAAAAAAAAAAAAAAAAAAAAAAAAAAAAAAAAAAAAAAGATGTATGTATAGGACTAACATGCAGCAGTCCATAGTCAGAATGGCAAATTTTTCTTTCATTTCTGTCAAATTTATTGCACACATTACTTTGAGAATAGATCATTGCTTTGGCCACTTTTATGATGATAATGATTATTTTTATTATTGCTAATATCAAATGTAGGTCCTTGTTAGAACTCGCACAGCAGAAAACACTTATTTTATGTGTAAATTGCTTTGAGGGAAATGTTTCTCTTTCTTTCAACGCACTGGCCGTATCCCACCGATGCAGGGTGGCCCAAGAAGAAAAACAAAAGTTTCAGCACTTCAACAGCCTTCTGGAACGAATTAATTTCGTATCCCGAGGTACCACTGTATAGCTAAACTCTCACAAGGACCTACATTCAAAATTATTAAGTTACTGTTTTGAGTTGGAAAAGACTATACAGTGGGTCAATAGATTGATATAGGCTGAGGCATAAACTATTCTGTTGTGTGTGGGATCTGGTTTGATCCAAGGGAAGAATTGCTCCAATTCCTTAGATCTAGATCCCTTCACTGGCATCATGGCAACTCTCCCTTGAAGAGCCTCTTTATAAGTTGTACTTGTAGCAATAAAGATTATTATTATTTTATTGCATATTATATTATTATTATTGTCAACTTTCAGATACTGATGTTATGCTAGGTTGTCCAGTTTGGTTCAAGTTTAAAAGAGCAGATTAATATGTTATGGTTGGTTCCAGGTCACCCTCAATGCCTTCATGAGCCTAGGCAGGTCAGCCTGGAAAGAGGCAAGGTCAACATTGCAAACTTTATTAAGTGATGATCCAACTCTACGTGATGACCCATCTCTCAGAGCCAGGTAAACTTTCATTTTTGTTAAACCGATTTTCTTATACAGTTCAGTGACATGTACTGTACCTATTAATACTTTGAATACATAGCTGAGTTAGTTGTGTTTCACAAGTCATAGTATTTTGTACAAGAGAAAAACAGTAAATATTATAAATTTATTTTAACAGGTTTTTATTCATCTTTTATACAGAGCTTTAGTGCCTCAGAGTGCAGCTAAGATGCATCTTCCAGCAGAAATTGGTGATTACACAGACTTCTATTCTTCGATTGATCATGCAACCAATGTGGGCACAATGTTCCGGGGCAAGGACAATGCTCTTATGCCAAACTGGTCAGTATTAGTTTCAGACATTGCATATGAGTGAAGTCAGACCTATGAAGGTAGTCGAATTAAACTAATTACTACACTTAACAAAAAAGTGTTAAAATAACACACTAGAATTTAGTGTAGATAATTACAATAATTTATTTTCAGGTTTAGGACTTTGTTTATACAGTACATATTACTATTTTATTTATTTTCCAGAAAGATACATTTGTGTTACAAAGACATCTTGCATGAGGAAGCCCATAGTTATGCATACCATTTCATACAAACTTAAACTAGGAGTAATGCCGATTGTAAAATTGTTGCACACACAGGCGAGCGGGTAATAAGCAAGGACAAACCTGTTGAAATTCATTTTTTTTTGATGCCCTTTGGTTCTCCTGTAGCTCTGTAGGAAGAAGTTTCTCTCTTGGTAGAATGTCCTGAAAATGTCAAGTGAACAGAATACATGGCTTTAATGGTTAGTAAATCTAAAGGTGTGAGAAGAGTTGGTATGTGTTGTCTAAAACTAGCATTATGCCTTGTAGTATTGTTATTTTGTTGTATGCTTGGTTTGTTGGTCCTCGTGCACAGGTGCCTATACAATATGGATAGATCAGTGTAATGTAGAATAAAGTAAATTGAGGTAGGTACATCATAGCAGATTTTTGAGAGTATTCCCACAGTTTTGTTGAGAGTTTTCAATTTGTTGGATATGAATAGAGAATTTTAATTTATTTGTGTGATGGATTCAAAAGGAAGGGCAATTTAGAAATGCCTGATTTTAAACATGAACTGAAACCATTGTTGGTCAGTGTTATTTTTCTTGTTGCAACAGCTTAGTTATTGTAATAATAATAATATCTTTATTTCTACAAGTACATGTACAAGGTTTACAGGCCTAGCTGACATCAATGACATACTGCTACATAGAAAGCCAGTTATGTAGAGCATTTCGGGCAAATAAGGTTGGTTTTGTCCCGAGATGTGACCGTCCCCAGTCAACTAACACCCAGGTACCCATTTTACTGATGGGTGAACATAGACAACCGGTGTAAGGAAACACACCCAATGTTTCAACCCTCGACGGGAATCGAACCCAAACCTTCACCGTGTGAAGCAAGAGCTTATGCCACCAGGCCATGGGCCACCGTAACTCTTTCCTCTTCTTCTGATACCCGTATTGCCTTGATTTTGGCTCTGTACCTTGTAAGTGCATCATAATATTTGACAGTTTTCTCCATAGGAAGTTTGATGTCCATTGATATACATGTACAGTCAGTGCAATACCTCATTAGCACCCTTCATTTATTCTGTAGTGATGTGGCGAAGTTGATGTGCATTCTTCTAGGAAGCTTAAAACATATCCCTAATTTTATCACAGGAGGTATCTGCCAGTGGGTTATCATGGTCGAGCTTCCAGTGTAGTAGTGTCTGGCACACCCATCCGCCGTCCAAATGGCCAAACACGGCCAAAAGATGACGAGCCTCCTGTGTTTGGACCCTGCCGACTGATGGACTTTGAACTTGAAATGGCCTTCTTTGTTGGTCCAGGAAATAAACTGGGCGAACCCATTAGTGTGAGAGATGCCCATGAACACATATTTGGCATGGTTCTTATGAATGATTGGAGTGGTAAATATTAATATAGACTATGTATTTACTGTACTGTATTAAAAAGCTTTATATGTACTGTGCATAATGATAATACTGTATGCTAAGTTAGCCAGATGTGATAAAACAAAATATCTTGATACAGGTTAGGTTCCAGGCTACCGCCGTAAAGCTTATTGCCATCGAGATAACTTGTTCACTGAGTTTAATCATTTCTAACTTGGCATTTAAAATAAAAGGCTTACAACTCCTCTTTTGGCCACAACTACCCTTAGATGCCATCATAAATGAGAGAATGAGTGAGATGCAGAGAATGTTAATATACTGAGTATATACTGAGTGAACAGGTGGTGGGTGGTCAGATGAACACACATTAGTACCTGTCCAGTTGCTGCTCATAGGCATCCTCTTCAAGGGGGGCTCCTTGGCGTGGTGAAGAGGCTCTTGGTCTGAGGAATTAGCCCTGTCGGTCTTCTTCCTCAGACCGAACCTAATTACCCCCCATTCTCCCCTCCCCTATCCCATCCTCCCCTTTTTCCATTCCTCCTCCTCCTCCTCACCCCTCCCTTTTGCCCTTCCTCTTTTTGGCCTTTGGGATTTCTCCCACAGGCGCGCTAGTTCCTAGGTAGGGGAAAGGACACCGGGGTCCATCCCATTCCGTTGAGGTTCTTGGGGGTGGCATAGTTTGCCGTGGAATCTGGATTGCCTGGGGATGTCCCGATCCCTCTCCGGTATCCCGGAGTAGCTTTGGGTGTCTTTCGGGCGACGGGTGTATCTCTGGAAGCCACCTTTCGGATTCCGGGGGTGGTGGCCGAAGGAGGTATGCTTTGTGGCGGATATCCGGCCGCCCTCTCTTTTGTCCACCGAGGTAGCTCGGCAGATGTGAGGTTGCTATCCCGGATTGCTGGTTTACTGGCATGAAGGGTAGGGTATGGCACGGGTTCCATGCTGCATCTGCGCTACTAGTGGTGTTGAGGTCCTCTTGGGCGCGGAGGGAGATTTCCGACCCTTTCATTCCTCCTGGGAACTATTCCTCCCCGCTCCCCCCCTTTTTTTATTTTTATTTTATTTTCTTTTCTTTTTTTTTCTTAAAAACAAAAAGCAAAGGAGTAACCTAACCATGGCAGCCCTAGTCCATGAACCCACTACCCCCGGGCCCCTTCTTGATACCGCACCCCATTCTGACCCTGCCTTGTGTTTAGACCACTCTTCGGACACTCCTGATGCCCCTGTAACTCTTGCTGGTGCTGTTTCCTCACCCGCTTCAGGTACTGGGGCTTCGACTGACTCCTTCGATTTGTCTGAACTCCGCTCTCCTTTGACTATGCTTCCGGCTTCTCCCTCTACGGTACGGCAATTTTCGAATCGCCCGCCCATTTCACGCCGGACCAACTCCAGTCCTACTCCTAAACGCCAACGTCAATCTCCTGATGATGCTCCTTCGTTACCTTCCCATTCTACTCTGAAAAGACCGACACGTCAAGCACTCCCTCTCCACGCTCGGTTTCGGACCACACAATGGACTAAATTCTTTACTTTAAGACCGACTTCTTCTTCTGCCTACCTTTCTGACCATAGTATTGGCAAAGCGCTCCTGCGTCATGTTGGTAGAGATATTTCATTTCATGCTCTCAAGAGCGGTATGCGCATCGTCACTGTCCAGAATGCTGCCCAAGCTCATGATCTTTCTCTCCTTTCGAATATCAATACTACTCCTGTCACTATTGAAAAACATCTTTCTCTCAATTCTTGTAGTGGTACTGTCATTCTGCCCCATACCATAGTCCAACAGAATTTCCAGTCATGTGGCAATGACATTTTTGAACAGCTGGAACTCCAGGATCTCCCAATCCTCAAAGTAACACTTATGTCCTTCTGCCGGGGGCGGAGACGTTACCCTTGCAATGTGGCTCATTTAACTTTTGACAGCCGAGAACTCCCGTCTCTATATATGTCGCGGGACATCGGTTACAAGTTCGAAAGGTGATACCTACACCGCAACAATGTAGAAATTGCTGGCATTTTGGTCACTCAGCGAAATGTTGCAGATCTATGGCCGAATGCCCAGTCTGTGGTGCCGACGACCATTCTAATACATCTTGCAGTCAACCTCCATCTTGCCTTAATTGTAATGAAGCTCACCTTCGTACTCCCGCCGTTGCCAGGTCTACTTAAATGAACGTGAAATCCATTGCCTCAAAGAGGCAGAAGGTCTCCCTTATGCTATGGCAGTTACTCATCTCCGCCTCCAAGGGAGACTACCCCGTGTTTCTTATTCTCATGTTTCCAAACATCCCCCCACTTCTGGGGTCCCATCTTCTGCAGCCTCCTCTGTTGTTACCCCTCCCATAGCCACTACGGCATCTAATCCTTTTGCTGTCCTTGGCTCTGACGTCCCGACTACAACTCGGTCTGTTCTCACATCTTCGCGTCCTTCCACACAAGCCCCAGTATCAACAAGACCTCGTACAACACCTAATACCAATCGCCCTCTACTTCAGAAGTCCAAAAAATCCACATTGCTCAAATCTTCTTTGCCCTTCCTTCCCTTCTTCCACCTCCACACTTTACCTTTCCAGTCTCTGTACCTAGTTCTTTCCCCTCTCTCTGGCTCTATTACAAGTGTGGAGATTCACCCTCCTCCTCGTACTATGCCTTCCACCCGTCCCCTCCCAAGTTTCTCCCTCTTCTGCCACCTCCCAGGTTTCTGCCTCTTCTGTCCCCCCCCACACTTCATCTCCAGTCCCTTACACTCTTCCCTCCCCCTCTACTTTGGTACAGTCCATTACTGTCCCAATCTTTACTCACCCTCCTCCTTCTGTCTCCAATATGGTCTCCCATACATCTTTGAATTCAGAAACACTTGAAGCCATTTCAGAATATATTGCAGAGACTAAACCTTCAGTGGACACTGATTCACTTCCTGTTCCTTCTCTTCCCTCTCCTCCATCTTCACAACCCCATTCTTCGCAATGCTCCGTTCCTTCGCTACTTGAACGTCTTCCAATGCCACCACACGTTGACTTTTCTAACCCCTCTAGTCCGTAGGTGCCTTTACCTACAGATTCCTGATATTTTCTTCATCGCTAATCATGGCCTATTTACAGTGGAATATCCGCGGCCTCGGGTAATCGGGGTGAGCTTCAGATGTTGCTTTCCAGGTTTTCCCCTGTTGGTGCTTGCTTACAAGAACCAAAATTACACTCGGCTGTTTTCCAACCTATCTCAGGCTATAATTTATTGTATTCTTCGGATCCTTTCTCAGATGGGACCTTTAATGAAGTGCCTTCTTCTATGCAATGATATTCCGTACTGTCAACTATTTGTCCATACCTCGCTGCATTACACTGCAGCCCGTTATCCACTTGAATAAGTGGTTTACAATATGTTCTTTTTATATCTCTCTCTTCTCGAGCATTTTCTATCCCAGACTTTGCCTTTCTTGTTTCATCCTTACCACCACCACTTCTGTTACTTGGTGATTTTAATGCCCACCATTTCCTCTGGGGGGGGTCTCATTGTGACTCACGTGGCATCCAGTTGGAGGCTTTTCTCGCCTCTCACCCCCTCCATGTTTTAAATACGGGTTACTCCCACCCATTTTGACCCTCGTACTCATACTCTCTCTTGCATCTATCTATCAGTCTGCTCTTCCTCCACTGCACTAGACTTCACCTGGTCTGTTCTACCAGACTTACATGACAGCGATCATTTCGATCATTCTTACTTTTCCTTCCTATTTCACCACCTTTCCGTAGCCCTCGCTGGCAATTTGATCGGGCAAATTGGATCTTTACTCACACCTCACTGCTTTTAGTGAGGTTCCTTCTTCATCCTCCATTGATGAGCTCCTACACATCTTCTCGACGTCAGTTTATACCGCTGCTTCTCATTCTATACTCCAAACCTCAGGCAGGCATTCTCAGAAGTGCGTGCCTTGGTGGTCTCCTGCTTGTGCTCGTGCAGTACGTTTGAAACGTGCTGCATGGGGCAGGTACCGGTACAATAGAACTGCTGAGAGACTTCTTGATTTTAAGCAGAAGCGTGCGATCCCTCGCCGTGTCATCCGTGAAGCTAAACGCACTTGTTGGCGAGACTATGTTTCCACCATCACCTCTGCTTCTATGAGTGCAGTCTGGAAAAAAGTGAGGAAATTGAGTGGTAAATACTCTCCTGACCCGGCTCCTGTTCTACGGGTCGTTGGTGTTGATGTAGCAAACCCTCTCGACGTTGCCATTGAACTTGGCACACATCTGGTCCGTATTTCCCGAGGGCTCCATCTATGCTCCTCGTTTCTCTCCTCAAAGTCTGCCAGAGAGTTAGTACCCTTGGACTTTTCTTCTCTCAGAGAAGAACAGTATAATGTGCCTTTTACACTTCAAGAACTGGGGGCAACGCTCTCAGCTTGCCGATCATCGGCAGCTGGGCCTGACGACATTCATATTCGTATGTTACAACATTTACATCGGTCAGCCCTTGTAGTCCTCTTACACCTCTTCAATCTTATTTGGGCACAAGGAGTTCTTCCCCAGCTGTGGAAATCTGCCATTGTTCTCCCTTTCCGCAAACCGGGTACTACAGGACATGATGCCTCCCACTATCGCCCCATCGCTCTTACTAGTGCAGTTTGCAAAGTGATGGAACGTCTCGTAAATCGAGGTTTAATGTGGTATTTAGAGACACACAACAGTCTCTCCGCTAGTCAATATGGCTTTCGTAAGGGACGTTCTACCATAGACCCCTTACTACGCTTGGATACGTATGTTCGTAATGCTTTGCGAATAATCACTCGGTTATTGCATATTTTTTGACCTTGAGAAGGCATATGACACAACTTGGAGGTATAATATTTTGGCCCAGGCCCATTCCTTAGGCCTCCGAGGCAATCTACCATCTTCCTTAAGAACTTTTTAACTGACAGACATTTCCGTGTTCGAGTCAATAATGTTCTTTCCCGGACTTCGTCCAAGCTGAAGGTGTCCCTCAGGGATGTGTTCTAAGCACAACACTTGTTTCTCCTTGCTATAAATGATTTGGCCTCTGTTCTTCCACCCA